TCTACTGTTGCTGTAAGACATGAATGCAAAAGACCTGGTCAATCAGCAAACAGAGAAAACAGACTGGAAAAGTGCCAGGGAAGTGAAAAGGTTTTATACTCTTTGCGAGAACATTTGAGTCACTTGGCCTACTAAAGCATTCTAAGGTGCATTCACTGTTGATTGTATTTGTTTTCTAGGCTCACTGCCACTACATCACAGTGAAAAACTTAGCAGAAACTGTGGAAAAACTCAAGACCGAGGCTGGCATCCAGAAGATTATGAAACATCTTTGTGACCTCTTTGCATTACATGGGATCTTCTCAAATGCAGGGGTCTTCTTGTATGATGGATATGTATCTGCAGCTCAAATGGATATGGTCACAGCATCGTATCTGGACCTCCTGGCTGTCATTCGGTGAGCTGCTCTAGCATGAGAGAAGACAGACAGCTATTCAGTTTGTCCCTGTGATAGATGTAAAATGGTGCTGCTGTACCTATGGCAACATCTTCAAAGTCAATTCACCTCACTCAGTTTTTATTTGCATTGCCTGGCAGAAATCCATTGAAATATCTACACAGAACTCATTTTCACAGCAAAACAGAACTAAGCGTCTAGCTCCTCTGCAGTCTCTAAATTAAACTTCTGTAACATGAAATATTACATTATAAATCAAGAAATCTTGAACACTGTCTACCATGTGCAGTAGAGCAAAAGCAGGAAAATATGTAGTCAGAGCAGCACTGGCAGGAGGCAGCCACAGCAACCGATCATACACTGCAAAATCTGCTTAAGCTGCAGCTAATACAGCCTACTGTTACCATGGCTGAGTTGAAACGGGTACCCAAACAATCCTGCCCACAGCTAGTTCAGATGCATCTGCTCGACACCATTTATTACTAACTGTGTGAATTCTGAGATATGGTAAGGTTTTAACTTATCACAACACTCACAAAGGCTTTTTGACAAAAATTTCATCTTTCACTACTCAGTGCTGCTTGTTAAGAACATGTTAACTTACGGTGCAGAAAAGTGGCTATACGTAAAATTCTACTTAAGCCACCTGGAGAGAAACAGGAATACACCATAACCAAGAGCTGAACAGGACTGAGTCAAACAGCAAGCCTTTTCAGAACTGGTCGCAGAATTCAAGTTAAGTGATAAGCTTAACATAGCATTTTCAAAAGTCTAAAACATTTGTCATCTCTGGAATTCATTGCAATTTCTCTATTAGTCCATGCCTTGTTAACAGGATTCAAGAATGGAATGGATATTTACCTAGGTAGAGTCAGTTACTTACCATTAGTAGAAAGGCTAGAAATGCTTGCCAGTCTGTAGCAAAAACCCAACCTTTCCCAAGCCCCCAAACAGCCTTTCCCCAAAAGGAACTGGTAGATGCAAATGCCAACATTTGAGCAAACTGCTTTGCATCCCTGTGCCTCAGGTGTGAGGTACAGCCAGCACAACTTCTGACACCCAGGACGATGGGAGGATGAGGAAAAAGAAACCACCTCCTGCTTAGGAGAAGATGCTGTCATTACATACTTGTCCTTATGCTCTAGCTATCTCTTGCTGACTGCTGTTAGATTGGCCCCTGGGCTAGATGGGCCCTTGGTGTGGTTCAGGGTTGCTTTGTTCTTACAGACACAAAGAGACTAGAAGATGTTGACACCCCATGATGAGGTAATAGAAATACTTAAGAGTAGATGAAGGTTAGAGATCAGCAAAGCACTTCACATCAATCTAGCAGCAACCTTATTCCATTTTGTAAGACAAACACATACAGCATAAGAAAAACAAAACAACAAAAAACAAAAGCAAGAACTGGCAGAGTCTGCTGAAAAAAACATCTGACATGAGATTGAGTCCTAAATTAGGGAATTAAGGACAGATTCCAGGTGATCACAAAACCCTGCAAATACCCATTCAACAACACAGATTGCTCAGGGTGTTAGTAGAACATGCCTCCATGGAATCAAAACAGGCAGGATTTTCCCCACAGCCTAGGCAAGGGGAAAAACTGGCACAAGCTTTTTAGACTTGGACAACTGACTTTCAAGTTTACTTTTGACTAATCTTCCTCCCTTACAACGCAGTACCTGCTTCAGTAAAATTAATGTCGTTCATCTACTCCTTAGGAAGGATGCTGTTCCACTAGTGGATGCTTTTGACTTCACAGACAAGAGCTTGAATTCTGCGCTTGGCAGTTACGATGGACAGGTTTACCAGCGGCTGTACGAGTGGGCTCAGAAGTCACCGACCAACAAACAGGTTTGGATGCTGGATTACAGCCAAGCAGCCTCTGCCTTAGCCAGAGCAAAAATTCTTTTTCTGTTAATAAAAGCAATACAGATAAAACTAAGTGGAATAAGAGCTTTTAATTCTTAATATCTCACTCTGAGCAATGACCAGTGACAAAATGTATAGTTTAGCTCAGACATTTAACCTAAAGATGAATTACAGTCCCAGAGTACTAGAGCTTGTACCAAGGAGCTGGACTGTCACATGCCACCAGTGTGGTTTTGGTTTTTAAACATGTATCACTGAGGTGATATTGTATAAAGTAAGCTAAAACAAAAGTCTGTTTACATAGCTTATATATTATGGAACAACACTAGATGGCTGCAAGAGCCATGAAATGCAGGATATTTTCCATACACTGGTACTTTTACTAGTGCAATATTTACTTTTAAAAATAACTTTTACCCAGAAAGAGTATAAATGTTAAATAAGGCGATTTCATCCTTCATGATCTTTAGCACTTTACTTTCACTTAATTCATCCATATTGTGGAGTATTATAAAATTCTGCATGATGTAAATAGCTATTGCTCTGTTTGAAAACTCATTTTGCCTTGAGTTTTTTACTGTGGCAATCGGCAACCCTTTGAAATTCTACAGCTGAACACAAAATTTGCCTTCAGCAAGCATTCAAGTCCAAGCATATTTTTTGAAGTTAAATAGTAAGCTGTCCCGTTTGGGATGAGTATTGTGTACTGGTTATGAAAGACAGCACATACTATAGAGAAAGGGATCTTGCACATAGCTGAAGTAGCTGTAGGTTTGATTTTGTGGTGGTTTGTTTTGTTTTGTTTTTTTTTAAGTAGTCTAGCTTTTTATATTTCAGAGATCATTCTTAAGAAAAAACATATAGCCTTTTCCTTCTTCTTAATTATCATTAATTCCCTTCCACATTCTCTTTCTGAACAGATGAGCCCAGCCTACGAGAGGTATTTGAAGCCACTTCTTCACAACACGCTATCAAAATTATGAAGACCGTGATCTAAGTGAAGTCCACACATTTCCTCCTGTTCTCTGTGCAGCACTACATTTATGAAGCATCACTAATGACTAATCAAAATTAATAATCAGTTGTTTACCTGCAGTTGCAACAAGTATGAAACAAGATTCTTAACCAGCCATTTGCATTTAATCAGACAGAAGTCAAACAATGCTGAGTGGTACCCACTGCGATGAGACAATGTAGACAGAAATAGTCTTGGGTTCACTGTTTTCTAACTTGTAGTCTCCTGATAGCATCAAAACTATGCCACTGGCTTTCTTATTCTTTTTTTTAAATCCACTATATGATGACTAAGGAAAAAACCAATACACATTGTGAGCTCCCCTGTCACTGTGTTATAACTGTACAGTGACTTCAAAAAAAAAAAAAAAACCCAAACCAAACAAAAACAGAAAAAAATCTTTACTGAAAAATCCAGTGAAGGTAAAATTATGGTCCTTGGTTTCTAGGAACAACTTGTTCTCTTAGATCAAGAAAGGTATTAGAAAGAACATCTATTTAGACAATTAAAATAGCTCTTAACTTGTTCAGCAGTGGAGTATTCCTGGCTAATGAAGATTCAGACAAAGCTGATGCCAATTCCAGTCTGCAGAATTTTCTTGCCCATTAATAGAGCCACTCATACTGTCTTTCTAAAAATCTTGGGCTCCAATAAAGTGTATTATTTGGAATGATGATTCTCTAATTATTATATTTCATAATTATGGAAAGGGCAGTCTGATCCAGGCCAGTCATTAATTTGCTAGTAAACGAGCTGTTGCAAAGAACATCTTGTGGTTATAACTCAATGCCAGTTAACACAGATATTTCTTACCATGTGTTGCAGGAAAGAAACAACCACTTTTGCTGAGCTTCATCAGTTCAGCTTTTTTCCTCCCCCTTACAGGAAGAATAAAGCTCTTACTGCCTGTTTTATGAAAGTCAAAACCCCTGCAATATATGAAGAGGGGGAGACAAAATATGATGGAGAAATACACCCCTGAGACAGGCCTTTTGAGTGAGAGATGGCATGGAAAGCTGTCACCTTCAAGAAGCAGCAACTACCATGGAAATCTAGGCCCCCGCTCCTACATCCCCAAAGAGCTGCGGTCCACACAGCCCAGAGAGCAAAGTAGTTGTGGTGAGGAACACTTGTCACTAGAACTTCACAGGAGAACATGATCTATTCATCAAAACAGCTATCGGCTCTCTTACTCCCAGCAACACTCAAGTTAGAGCATAGCCAGAAATTCTATTAATAACTATGACAAAGTGCCCAAGGTAAGCAGAAATGGCTACACAAAACGGAGTAAAAACACAGAACTCCAGTGCCTTGACTTGAACATCATCAGAAACAGCACTCTACAGATAAAATATGTAAAGTCACTAGATAAATCGCTGACAAACCAGATAACACTACTTAGCAGCTATGAGTATTTAGGCTCCATGGTCCCTCCATCCCCATCCCTTTAGCCAGTACAAATACTTGCTGGTTTTCTGTTAGTCATAATGCAATTTTCAAAACACAAGCTTTCTCTATAGTGAGGACAGCTGAACTGACTGATTAATATAAAAAGGAAGAAAGTACATCAGTAATGGAAGAGAATAGAGCCCCTCCAGAACATCTGAACTACTCTGCAGCATGAAAACCAGGGTTTAGGTGGGTTTTTTTGGTTGGTTCGCTTTGATTTTTAAAGTATTAGAGTTCTAGAAGACAAAAAGAAAATACAAAATAGTATTCTGTATTTCACATTTTATTAGCTTCTTGCTGGCAGGCATTACACTTGGGAATAATATTGCACCAGGCATTAAAAATATGAATTCTACCACAGGGACATTTTGCATTTAGAACCCAATATAAATATTTCTAATCCTATTTCCATGGCTACAGATAATATTTGGTTGCTTGATTTATATGCATAGAAAGAAACAGTTGTCATAACTGTAAGAAACTGTACTTATCAAGTACTTTTAAAAGGTGGGAATTGTTTTCCTAGAATATTACAATACTGTTTATTTATTTAGAAACTGTATTAGTCTATATGATAGCAGCTTTTCCCCAACTGCATCTTAAATTTGTTTCTTGCTCCCAGTGTCATAGCATTAGATGGATTAGAAACTGTTTAAACGGAGGTAACTTTAGCACTTTAAGTTGTGTCAGAGAATTGTGTTAATGACACAAAATACTTTATCGTACTAATTCTTTGGACTCCCTCTTTCAAACAAAAAGGTGTCTTGACTGAACAGGCACATGCATGGTTTTCTTCTGAACAGGACAAAAGGACAGAGCTGCTAGAGAACGAAACTCCTCCAGCCCTCACTGAAAAACAATAAATAGTAGTATAAAAAAAAAAAAGCCCACAGTTGCTTTAGTCAAAATCCAGACTCTCTTAGGTTTACTGTCCAATTAAGTTGCTAATCACTGAAGTGGCTCCTGTGGAGTCAGAATCAGTCATCTGTTTTCCGTGCCAGTCTACAGAAAGTCCAGTTATGCTCCACTGTGTTTTCATTGGCACGCTCGCTCATATGATGAACTCTGGTATTCCTGATCGTGAAGCCTTGCTTCGTGATGTACTCCATCAGATGGACTCTGAGCGACACTTCCTGGTGGTAATCACACGGCCCAAAAGTGAAGGAAACCTGGCAGTCCCGGGTGTCCATCATATGCTTATTCCACTTCGTGAAGTGGTTTGAAATGCCTTCCAGTAACGAATGGACTTTTGTCGTGATAGTGAGCTGTGTGATGATTACAGCCACTGGGTTGGAGTACTTGGAAAGCTTCCGGGTGCTGGACAGCTCCACCACCTCCTCAAAGGTATCCACGGGATACAGCGGCTTGGGGTCATTAAGACACTGAATTAGCGGTTCAATCTGATAGAAGTCCGCTTCCTTCCGAAGTAAGTCGAACTCCTTGAAGTCCAGTGGCAAAGTGAGCTCTGAGGTCCTTAAAAAGTTAAGAACATAACGGAAAAGTGGTCCATCTCTGTCAATAAAGTAATTGCCCTGAGAATCCCTGGCAGTGGGGAAGTCTCCCCTGAACATGGCCCCAAGCATTGAGTCAGGATATCTCGTTAGAGTTGTGAGGGAGGTCGTATACATGTGTCCACCCACATTTAGCGTGACTGGATCAGTCATCTAGAAAGAGAGAAATTGCAGATTTTATCAAGCCACCAGAAGAAGATTTGATAACCTCACTGAAACTCATGGCAAATACTGTTTGAAAACTGCAGGCTCGAGAGAATCACGCTTCTCCCATTCGAAGCCTTTAAGCGGTGTTTAAACCCGAACAAATCCAAGCCACCTAGCAACAAAGCACAACTGGCAACGAGACAGGATGATACTTAACATTCAGAATGCACATTTCCGGAACACTTTGGAAATCTTAACAACTGAGCTACTGTCACAGAAGCAAGTTTTGCATTTGGGCAACAAGTTTTTTTCCTATTCTACAGATGGGAAAATGAGAACAGAGAGATTTCCTGAAGAACAAGTTAGTCTGAATGAGGCCCATCAGTGTTCCCTACTTTCACAATCTGTCTCTCATTCTAGAACAAAACAAAACAAAACAAAACAAAAAAAAAAAAAAAAGAAAAAAAAAATCATCTGAATAAGTCTTAAGCCTGTTTCTCTCCCTCAAAAGAGGATGACAGTGCAAGTATAGACACAGGACCAAGAGCTCACAGTCAAAATAACCCATGCTCTGGTTAAGATGCAGCATTAAAACAAGCAAACAAAACAAAAAAAAAAAAAAAAAAAAAAACAACAACTTTCAGTTTTTAATTCTGAAAAGAAACATTTATTAGCAAATTAGCATGCTGCATAGATGAGGGGGGCAAAGCACAAACCAGTCTGCATCAGCTTCCAGATAGCACATGAGGAAGCAAGAGAGAAAGGAACATAAATCCCATCTGGCCACCAACCCTAACAACCAGGACTGAGGCCAGCCAGAGAAAAGAGACATATGCACGGCAGCAGAATGTTTAGAGAAAGAGAAGAGGAGAAAAATAAGATGCGTTTGTCTAGTTTGAGACAGGATTTGCAAGGAAAAATATTTTTCTTTATAAATAAAATGACAAAGTCCTTAAAATTATATGCAGGAAGCACAAACTGTTTCCAGCCTTTGGGTGTTAGGAAAACAGTAACAGTGAGCTTAAGACATCAGTTAAGTACTCACTGACTGTACCTAGGAAATATGAATCTGAGCTCTCCCCACAAATAGCATGCAAGGTAAAGCACTCCAAAGAATGTAAGGAAGCTGTGGTAGCATGCACAGTTTTGATTCTCACATGACTGAAGCTCTGGATCTATACAAGACAGACCTGGAAGGATTCTTACTGCAAGTTCTTGAAAGCCCAGTTGCACCACACAGCACGCACTTACACAGGCTCGCTTACCATATATCCCCAGTCTCCATTATCCATCTGTTCAATTGCTTGAACTGTGGTATTCCAAGTTAAATGGAAGGCTGCTGAAAGGATATGCGATTCACCTCCTATTATCTCCCTGCAGGAAAAAGCACACACAAAAACACAAAACAAAGAACAAAACATGGCAGACCATCAGTACCTAGAGGAACAACCGGGGGAACGCTTTCTAATCAAAGGCAGGCTCTCTGCCAGGAGAGCATTCAGCTACAAAGCCACACTAGCAGAAGAAGCTACAAATGAGCTTTTCCCTCCTTCTCCCTTCATGCTACCCACAAGACTCTGTCCAGAGCACACGGGTCATCACTCCACTGGCCGTCTGACCATCCCAGTTTTGTTAAATAACAAGCAATGTGCCTCTGAGGATAATATACATTCACAAACAGACTACCCTTCACCTGGGAAACTGTGAGTACTTTGAAAGACAGATGTTCTTTTCTCTTTTCCCAATTTAGTTCAAAAGTTTGTTTAGCCACCATTGACAACATACATGCGATTCATTAATATTAGTCAAAATTCCTATGCTCCAGTTTAAACTCCACAGAAGAATAAGTCAAGCATGAAAGTCAATGAACAGTAAGAAGAAAAAAATCTCACTGCAGAATTAATAATTCAGTAGTGGAGAACTGCAATTGATAGCAAGAACATTAATCTACAAAGAGTATGAATGGACTCCACAGATGCACATGTACTCTCAGAAGAAATCTCTTTAGGGATAAGCCAGAGGACATCAAACATCTTTTCAACAACACCCCCAACAAAAGCAATTTGAGAAGTGGTTCATGCTGTAACTTCCCAGAAGATGCTGAACTGCTGACTTGCATAACAAGGGGACTCTCTCCACACGGGCATGGCAAGGGAAATCCACAGCCCGGGTTGTGCAACTTACAGCAGGGAGGAAGTGAATGACCCCAGACATCAGTGGAGATTTTCCAAGGGTGGCCTGTCAACCATGTCAAGCAATGCATGGACAGGGAAGCTAGTCATCAATAAGCCTTTATCCCTACCCAGAGCCTGCCTCTCTGCTAGAATTGCTGAAAATTTAGGTCAGTCTGTCTTAAGTAGGGTACAGCTTCTCAGCTTTGTTTATTTTTACATCTTAAAGACCACACAGTTACCAAGACTTCTGCTCCTGTCCTCTTTACTAGCAAACTTCAACAGTCACCCAGATAAAAGCAGCACAAAGATTTAGCCAAACCAGAGCCCTACAATCCAAAACAATTGAAGGCTCGCAGTTAATTCCCAACCAAAAAGATTACTTGCCTTCTCATTCCTAGCAAACAAGGTTGGGTTGGTTTTATTCACCACAGAACAAGGCAGCACATTCCACCTCTCTGGCAACCCAGAGCCTGAGCACAACAACGTCTGGCAGGTCAGGCCTTCAGGGGCCAGCAGCACAAGCACAGCCTCAGCTGCATCTCAGATGTATTAAAGAGTAGAAAAACCAAAATCAGTGTATGAAAATCGTGAGGTCAGACAACATAAGACTACGGAATACTAAGATACATAACTAGTCATACCAGGATCCTGTTTTTACAAATTAGAGATGGAGCATGCCTCAAGAAAGTACATTAAAGCACAACCCCCCACCCCCCAACAGCAGATAAACCTGCAATGCCAGCTCATTTGCCAACCTCTGGAATTATTTTTTTTTTTAACTGCTAACAAATCAAGAAGTTAATTCATTCAGGTTTTCTTTATTTGGAATTGTCATTCAAGTACAGCTCATTAACTTTTATCAATAGCCCAGACCTTTTAAATTCCAGCACTTATAGGTGCTATTCTGGTCAAGTATACCAGTATAACATGTAGATGCATTAAAATCATAGAAGAGACCGGTACACATTTCTGATACTCAAGGAAAACATTAACTTGAAAGTGAAATGATGCATCCAGCCAGAAACTTCACTAGTAATCATGATAGAAGAGGTCTGAAGTCTTAAAAAAATTAGCTGGAATTATACATTCAGAATATTTCAAAGAAAGACAGATGTCCATCAGAGTTATTTAAACTGGTGGACAGATACTATGTTATTTTGCTCAGCATCTAAGTTCACACTACAGATGAATCAAGACTTACTTTATCAGGGAAAGAAACAGATGACACCACCTGTCTATATGAGGGCATAAACCAATCTTTGATCACAGCACTTCTGTGTAACACTGGAGTGAATAATTTACAAGAGCAATTAGCTGAAACAGACCCAGCCTTCAACATGTAAGTGGCATCGAGAAGCCTCACTGACCTTTGTGTAAGGACCCAGAATCCCCAGGTACACACAAACCTCCTGGCAAAGCCAGTGCTGGAGTGAGATGCACCATGCGAAGGGATGATAGTGGGAGGCCATCCTAAAATGCCTGAGTGTGATCACAACTACCTGCTGCTTCCCTCATCAGCCTGGGAGCTCTGAATTTCTAGAAAACTTCACAGGCAAAAATAGCTCTGCTCGGGTACAACCCGAGATAGGGACTAGCAAACCACATCACAACAAGGGTGGGGACACATACCCTTCTTGACATATGCCCCTCTGATGATGCTGTAAATTCTTCCTGACTGAAATACAGTGATGCATTGGTGGGGGTGGACAGACACTCACTCCATCCACACCACGGGATGGACAGCATCAAGCCAGCTCTTGACTGTGTCACACAACACCACACCACACCCAGGGACAGTCTTGCTAACACTTGTGTCCAGACAGCAGATAACAGATGACACACAGCCATATCCCAAGACAGCCTGCCTTTAATAACCATAACAAATACTCATTTAAGGTGAAATTCAGCCAGACAAACTGCTGACACCATTTAAGCCAAACAGGATGTCATTCTTTGGTGAGAGCAGAAGTGCACTGACTGTTGTCAAACCACGGTCCTGTTTTCCTTAAGCTGCTTCTGTGAGCGGGGAGAAGATAGGCAGCGTTAACATGGTCACCAAAGCTGCTGCCATAGACCAACACCAAGGACATCCAAAACTAGAAAGGCATAACAAGAAGCAAGTACTTTTGAATAAAAGCACTCAAGTCATCATTTTATACTTAATACACCAAAGTGGATACCTGCATTTTTAAAATGCTCACTCTTATTTCGTATATTATGAATCAGAAAATTACGAGGCTATTTACCAGCAACACTACTGCAACAGGTAGTCCCACTAACTTCAGCTGGGCTTCTCCCAGAACAAAGCTGCTACCGTGCAACCATTTTGCAAGCTGAAATTCAGAGAGAGCAAAATGAGAGTCAGCTGAACATCTGCATCTGTGAACACACACGGGCTCAAGACAGGCCAGGGGATGCCAGCAGCACTGCCAAGGGTTTGCACTGCTGGGACCACATGCAGTGCATTTGGTCATGGCCACAGGCTACACGCTGCACCTGGAGAAAACCACTGCACTGGTGTCATACACAGTTACTTCACGGAGGAGCAGAAATACACCTAACAGTTAAAAGTCAAGAGGCACCCACCACCTGATTTGCTCTGAATGTTTTTCATCTAGTTTTTCCAACAAAAGAATTAAAGGATTTACTTGTGGCACTAGTCTTTAATGGACAGTTTGGTATCAATATTACAACACAAGCTGTTTAACCTCCACATGAACTGTTTAACCTCAATAGTTACCTTAGATTTCTAGGTCAATATAGAGTTGACAGGAATTCTACCAATGGCAACTTCAAAATTAAAAAGAGCAAAGCTAAAACTATACTTATAAATATACTTGGTATTTCAAGTTACTCACCCACTTAGTGACCTCCCTGCCTCTCACATTTAGATCTCCAAAGACAAGAAAAAAAAACTCCGGCCCTCAAGCACATCTATGCTGTGCATGGACAACCTCTCTATTTCCCAGCCAGTCACAACATTTGAAAGGCAAGTTTTTATTGTAAATCATTATCAGTGACTCACCTGAACTGACAAAAACTAAGCTAGCGCCAGTGATGACTGTATTCCACCAAACTGTACAGCGAGTCCATAGTCTGCAGAGCGAACCCATGAGGCTCCAGCACCATGCTACCCTATCCAAGGGAGCAAGGAGGAGTCACACTCTTAAACCAACTGGTTACCGAATCTTCTAGTAGCTCAGCAGATCAGCTTCACTAAAGAAAGCATCCATCACCTTCTACACATGTCAAATTTATAATGAACAATACAGTTTATTAAAAAATAACTTAGTTCTTGTTTTTCTTTAGTTGTTGTTTTGCTAATACTTAGTCTTCACCTCAGGCAGGAGGGAAAAATGTTCATGCCAGCCACTCAGCATTTTTACTTCTTTATGTCTAATTGCTTCACTATAAATTCCAAGCTACTGAAGTTTCCTTCCCTCCCCTGAGGAGCTCTGTGACATCCTGGTTTAAGCCAAGGCTCCAAACTTTTATTTTAATTGCTACTTGTTTGAAGAGCCCACATCATCGTATCTCATGAGAGTGAAAGGAAGACACTTGTATCTGGACTGGTCCTGCTGGCCCTGTGCTGCTGAAACAACCCGAGGCACCCAAGCTTTCAGCACCCGTAACAACAGATGGGTTTTACCCATTTTCCTTCTGTGAAACTAACTGGTAGCTGTCTGTGTGTGGAAACATGTCTCCAAACAGTTTTGGGGGGAGGCAGGTGTCAGTAACACAGAGCCTCCCTGCACACACCAGTGGGGCTCAGCACGCCTGCGGGCCAAGCAGCGACGACAGGACAGGGGCAGAAACCCTGCCCCTGCGAGCCCCGGCCAGAGAGGGGCCCGGGCCTGCAGCAGCAGCTGGGAAGTGCCAGTCTCCATCACAGAGGAGCCAGAGAGCTCACGGTGGAGGAACTCTCCCCAGGATCACAATGATTCAGCAAAGATGCTGGAAATGAACCCAGACATTCTGCCTCCCGACCCCCCCCTCCCCGCAAGTGACTCAAGAGCTCTCACCCCCACCCCAAATCAGTGTCCCGGCTCTGCCTCCTCATCCCCGTGGCACGGGAGGTCCCACTCGCCCCCCAGCGCGGGGCAGGACCCACCTATCCCAGACCCTCCCTGCCAGAGATCACCGCCGGGCACCCCGGCTCCCACCCCGGGCCCCCTCCCTGCTCCTTCCCCAGCCCAACGGGGAACAGGACCCGGGTACCGGCTGTCCCATCCCCACCCGAACACCGGCGCCCTGCCTCCGCAGCCCCTCCGCCAGCACCGAAAAAGCACCGGGAACCCAGCCCCGCGCCCTCACCGCCCTCCCGGGCAGGGACCGTCCCGCCTTAACACGCTCCCCCCACAGCGGGGACACCCCATCCCACACGGGCCTCGGCCGCCCGGCCCCTCACGGCTCCCCCGAACGAGGGGAGACCCCGGGCGCTCAGCCCCGCGACCCCCCGGCCCGGCACTCACGGGCGCAGCTCCCGGTACTGAGGCAGAGCCCGGCGGCGGCGGCGGCGCGGACAACTGAGCTCGAACCCGGAGTTGAGCCGCTGGTGCGGGCGGGGACGGAGCGAGGGTGTGCCCGAGTCAGACCACGCCCCTCCCCGGGACACGCCCCGCTCGGTCGGTGGAGCGGGGAGGGGCGGGCACCGCCCCCGTTCGCCTCAGGGCCCGGCGCCCGCCTCGGCCCGGTGTGCGGCCGCGGTGTCACCGAGGGAACGGGGAGGGGCCGGGCCCGGCCCGGGCAGCGCCGTCGCCAGAAGGCAAAGCCGCGGCGCCCGAGCCCGAGCCATCCGCCTCCCGCCCAGGCGGGGCGGGCACACGGTTGTCCCCCGCGGGCCCAAGCGCCGCCGGGGGGGAACCGGAACTGTCGTGCAAAGGCCGCGCCGGTCCCGCCGTGGCGGCCGCCGGTTCTCGCGAGAGCTGGCGGGGGCGAGGGCGAGGCCTCGCCGTCAACGGCGGCGCGCGGCGCCCCGCTTCCCCCCGCGCTAGAGGACACGGCCAAGATGGCGGCGGCTGCGGCGGCACTGCGGCACCTGGCACCGGCGGGCGCTCGCCTCGCCCGCCTCCCGCCGCAGCAGCGCAGGGGGATCCGCCTCTCCGCGCCCGCCGCCATACAGGTATAGCGCGGCGGCTGCCGCGAGGGCTGCCCGCGGAGAAGGGGGTGAGGGGAAAAAAAGGGGGCGCGTCCCTCTCCGGGGGAAGCGGCCGGCCCCGGGGGGTACGGGGCGGGCGGTCGAGGTGCGGCGGCTCCCCGGGTTCCTGGCGTGTGCGGGGAGCGCGGCGGCCGCGGGCCGTGCCCCCACCCTGCCCGGCTGCCGCTGCCCCGCAGGTGACGGTGCGGGACGCGCTGAACCAGGCGCTGGATGAGGAGCTGGAGCGGGACGAGCGCGTCTTCCTGCTGGGCGAGGAGGTGGCCCAGTACGACGGCGCCTACAAGGTACGTGGGTGCCGTTACCGGGCCGGGAAGGGGCCGCAGGCGGGCCCTGACTCCTCTCTCCTGCCCTGCAGATCTCCAGGGGTCTCTGGAAGAAGTACGGGGACAAGAGAGTGATCGATACCCCGATATCAGAGGTAGGGCTGCCCGGTCTCTTACCCTGGTGATCCCTTCAGCAGCTGCTGCCTCAGCCCTCGCCCCTTGGTTTCCTTCTCTTTCAGATGGGCTTCACAGGAATTGCTGTCGGTGCTGCTATGGTTTGTAAATTTGCATTCCTCTACTTCTGATTTAAACAACTTAAATAAACTATTTTTATGTAAAAAACATACTAACGTATATTTTAATATATTTAATAGGCAGGGTTGAGGCCAGTGTGTGAATTCATGACATTCAACTTCTCCATGCAAGCGATCGATCAGGTTATAAACTCCGCTGCCAAGACCTGTTACATGTCTGCAGGATCAATCGCTGTTCCCATTGTCTTCCGGGGCCCCAATGGGGCATCGGCTGGTGTTGCCGCTCAGCACTCGCAGTGCTTCGCAGCTTGGTACGGGCACTGCCCGGGGCTGAAAGTGGTTAGTCCTTGGAGCTCGGAGGATGCCAAAGGGCTGCTGAAAGCATCAATCCGGGATGATAATCCAGGTGAACGCAGGCAGATCATGGCAATACCTAGCACTCGATCCTGAAAAGAATGTCCATTTTCCTCTCCTGCCCCATTTAAAACAACAAAAAAAATACTGTTAAACACTTAAGATTGCTTTACTGCGGCTTTAGGGTACTTACAAAGGCACGGAAGTATTTATTCTTCTCCTAAGTCACCTGCCTTGGTAGCAGAAGGCTAATTTTGTGCTGTTTCCAGCTCTGTATCTTTGGTGCTAGTTTGGTACCAATCAGGAAACTTAGAAGCATTTATGAATTTATTGTAAAGGGGTTAAAAAGGATGAAGGTGAGTCAGGAGCAGTTCCTGCCTATATGGTGCCTATATAACACATTTTTACAGATCATGAAATTCAGATGATAAATTCAGAATGTCATTAATTAAAAGCAGGGCAGCCTTCGTCTTTATTTTTCTCAAACATGCATGCAAAATCTTAAGACCTTTCTAAAACTAGCGATTCTGCTGGCACATACCAAAACTTAAATACCTGATCTCATTTAAGATTAATTGTAGACAATTTTTTAAATAATTCTGCGTTGAAGTAAAGACTGTGGGGTTTTATGTGTTGGGGTTTTTTTGACTGCTTCTGCAAACACAGTCAAGTCCTTACTGCTTGGATGGGCTGAGTATCTTGAGCTAGTCTGCTGTGGTACTGTTAGTCATCAGTACAGTCCCATGCCTACAGATGTACATGTTAATGCAAGTATGTTTTCTTCTAGTTGTGATGCTGGAAAATGAATTACTGTATGGTGTTCCCTTTGAAATGTCTGAACAGGCACAGTCAAAGGATTTCATTGTTCCAATTGGAAAAGCTAAAATAGAAAGGCAAGGTAAGCTGAGAATACAGTTTGTTTCCTTATTAACTGAACTGCTTGGGGACTTTTTTTTAACCTCTCAGCTATTCAGAATACTGCTGTCATGGGCCGCAGAAAAGTATTTCAAATATTAAAATGTTATTTTTATCCAGTAGTATACTTTATTGTTCTGTTGCCCACATAAGGAAAGATCACCTGATTCTATATTAATCTAAAACTATACCCTTCTAAAGGATTTGTTCCGTAGTACAGAGGTGAAGTAGGTGATGGCTTAAAAATGTTTTTCCTCATCTTAGTACGTAATTTATGTTAAAAATGTAAAGAAAATCGCTGTAGTATTTAAGCCCATTTGTTCATAATTTACGAGTAAATTATATAAATGTTTGAAAAGGATAATCTGAAAACTATATTAAGTATCTTCAGTTCCCTGAATTAAAGGGTAAAGTTTCTCTCTTAGCATAATCCTTCTGCTACCAGTCTTCATGCTACATATGGATGTAGAGTACTTAGCATTTCAGATAAACGTAAGGAACTTAAATTTACAGCAGGATCCTAATGTTACCTTGAAGGGAACCTGAGGTCTAGAAAAAAGCTTTAAATCTTAAGGTTGTTTTTTTTTTCTTTTCTTTTTTAACCCTTCTTTCTGTTCTAGGAACTCATGTTACATTAGTGTCACACTCAAGACCTGTCGGACACTGTTTGGAAGCAGCTGCTGTACTTGCCAAAGAAGGTGTAGAGTGTGAGGTGGGTTCAGTTTCTATTGCTTTTCTCTCTCCCTGAAGCGGGGAAAAATAGCAGAGGGTCATCTCACTGAGGCTCTACAAAACTTCAGTGTGTTAACTACAGACTTCTTACATTTGTAAATGCCTTAACAGCATGTGCATTTCATGTTGTTGCATTTCATTTGACCTTTTCATCACAAGATTGAGGCATAACTAATAACAATTTTCAGATTGACCCAGCTATGTGGTAAGCACAACACTGACAGTGTGTATTAGTGTGACTGTATCTCGATATAGCCGGATTCACTTATCTGGGACTTTCCAGGAGCCACCAGAAACTGTTCCGCACAGTCTCTGCCAGAGAATAAAAAGTTGTCTTCAAAGTCAGAATAGATGGAAGTTTTAAAGGGCACTGAACCCAAACACTGGGAACTGACAGGCTTAGATCATAGCAAAATACACAGCAGCCTCCCCCCCCCCTTTTTTTTTTTTTGTTTCTCCAGGTTATAAATCTGCGTACCATTCGACCAATGGATATTGAAACAGTGGAAGCCAGCGTTGTAAAGACAAACCACCTAGTAACTGTAGAAGGGGGTTGGCCACAATTTGGAGTAGGAGCTGAAATCTGTGCCAGGATCATGGAAGGTACTGAGTTTTGCAATATACATGTTGATCTCCTCTAGTTTAAATCCTGACAATTTCTTGATAAGGCCAGATGAAGGCAAAGTTAGGGTTTTATATCTGAGGAGCTTGAGCCTAGCTGTCTTGCTCTAGAGATTTTCACATGTTGGATTCGGCTTGTTTTCTGTTGTGAGTATTTCTTATCCCAGGAACTTGACTGTGAGAAGCAGGATGTAGCCTTTTCTCTAAACCATAGTGCATGAAGATAAAAAAGCAGGAACAGCTCTCTGGAATATTAGAGCTACCCGAACAAAATTGTTTAAATAGATTAAGATTCAGAAACTGAGTTGAGAGAAAACCATAGTGCATGGCAACCTGACAACTGTCTTTGTTTCAGGATCTGCCTTTAACTACTTGGATGCTCCAGCTGTGCGTGTTACCGGTGCAGATGTTCCTATGCCTTATGCAAAAATTTTAGAAGATAACTGCATACCTCAAGTGAAGGATATAATATTTGCAGTGAAGAAAACTTTGAATATCTAATTTGTAAATACATGTATTTAAAGTTCTCCTTTACAAACTATTCATGGTGTTGGGCAAGTTGTATGCATAACTTTTGTTGTATAGCTACATGAATTTTTGTACAGTGGGGAAAAGTATAGTGACCTCCCAGGATATTTATATGGGGTTACCCTCTAAGCCACACTTCATATAAGCAACAATGTGGTAATGCTTGTTTGTTCAGCAATACAGGTGGTTTATTGCTACTGTATGTGGAGAAATCCTATTCTAAATTCAGAGTGAGGAAAAAAAAAATCCTCCTTTTGTTGCAGTAGCGGTAGTTGAGTGAAGAACTGCCAGGAGCAAGAGAAGGTCCCAAGTCCAGCTCTGGAATGCTGCACAGTGTTCTAGGAGCCCATGGCCACAAGACTTATTAAAGGTGAAGGGGCAGACTGGAGTGAGTGAAGCCTTGCTTTTCAGCTCAACAGTAAGGTGTAGCTGTTTGCACAAAGCAGCTGTGGAAGCCTGCAGTATGAGCTAAGAGATGGCTGGTGTTTAGTTTGAAGAGCACTCTGCTTATGCAGGAAAGCTTCTGTGCAAGAGCTTAAAGATCCTGATCCTCTTCAGTATGTGATGGGAAACAGCCTAATTTTTCTTTACTAGCTGCCACATACAGTAGAAAAAAAAATACCTGCCCCAATGCTTTGCTCTTACGTTTCTGGTTTTTGTAAACTCATCACATGGGCATGTTCAAACTATAGTTCTTACAGTGCAGAATAAGTCTTACTGAGACACACCAAGCCTGGGTCTGAAGCAGCAGTTGTGTAAATTGTGTTTGAAGGACTGAGAAACAGTTGCAGCAGCCTTTTGGCAGATCACCACCTCCCTAAGGGCTATTCCTGACTGGCAGGGAGAGCTCTGCCAGGCTTTGTTCAGCAGCTTCAGGTACAGAGTGAAAGGTGTCTCCAGGAGCCTGTGCAGGGGGGCGTGCTCTGTACCCAGGTGGGGTGCCTCTCCCCTGAACTGTAGGAGGAGATACTTACCCTTAAAGTAGACAGAAGAGCTTGTGTCCTCTTTCAGCCAAGGGCCAGGAATACCTTTCAGAGTATTTCCTTTAACAGAAGTGCTATTAGGTTCTTAGAAAGTCTGGCTTGCAGATGCAATCCTAGCTGAATATACCCACCACCACGCTGCTGAAGAAATTCCATTAACATTTTAATAAAAATGACTGAATATCACAGGTTACATGAAACTTTGTACAGACATTCTCTGCATAGTAACAAACACTGATGTACTTGAATTTTAAAAATGGATTATCTGTAATCCTTTAAAGTGCAATTTGTTTAAGGTTTTAAATCAAAAAGGATGTTTCAATAAAGTTTAAGCTGTAGAATTAACTTGAAGTAAATTTGCATTTAACTAAATTGAGAATAATATCCCAGTGCCCTGTTAACTCCCATTTCAACTGTTTCCTCATTTAAAAATGCTTTCCCTTAGAGTTACAGGTAGGATGTCCATTTAAACAAGTTTAATGAGACAGCATTTTTACTCCACCAGCAAATATGGTGGGAATAAGATTTAATTCTCCAGTTCCCTCACCTGTGCAGTATGGATTAAGGGTTGGGGAGTTGGATTCTTCAAAACAAAACTTGCTGAGTCAATGCTGCAAGCATTAAGATGAGTTACAAGTGCATGAAAAGAGTTGGAAAACTGAGCAGACTAAAACTACATTCCTGTAATTTGAAAAGAGGGGTGGAATAGAGCTAGAAAATGCATTAGTTGACCGTGGTCATGGTCATTCCTATTTTCAGATTTTTATTCAGCTATATAGAAGTTGCTGCACCCCTGAAATTGTAGGTAGAGAACAATGTTCTTGAAATCAAGTAAAGAATGGAGTACTTATCACAGCATGGCAAGGCAATTCAGACAGGGCAGTGCTGCTACTCAAGGAAAGCTGAAATGGGGCAAACGGAGCTACAGCATGATTAGCCGCTATGTGCTGGTGGATCGGTCGCCGGTCAGGAAGGTCGTGGTCTTCGCACAGGAAGGGGAGTGGGAATTCAATCCTGGTGTGACCAGTGGCCTCAGCTGATCCTGGGAGCACTGTAGTCGCACGTCTGTGTTTTCTTCAGAGTTCCTTTCTGAAAGTTTTGAATGGAGCTGAGCAAGGCTCCTCGGCTTGCACTGACAGCGGGCTGGGGGCTTGGCTGCGTTGGCACCTCTGTACTCGGAGGAGGAGCTGCTGGTGGCAGGGGCGGCGGTGGCGGTGCTGGGGGTATCGACGATGCTCCTGTTGAGGAGAGAAGATGTAGTTTGATTACGCCAGGGAGGTCCTGCCGCAGATGACTCTGGCTGCTCAGCTGGACTTGGTCAGTCCTGCACTAGTCACGTCATTCCTTGAATGTCAATGGAATGTGAAGAACAGAACGGATGAAAAATGCCAAAGTGATCAAAATCCCTCTATCTGCAGGTGAGTTGTGTCATCTGAGACACCTCTGAAATGAAGCCTGAAGTGCCTCAGTGCTCAGGGATGCAAAACATGACTCAAATGTGATCTTACACTGAGGGAAAGGGAGATCATTTAACAGGACTTCCCAGCTTCAGCTTCTCGTTTGGCCCCAGTGAAGCAGTTTGCTCTTTGGGTGATGAACAGTTGACCTGTTCTTATTTACATGACTAACTTTACATTCTTATGAAGGACCACATCACTGTAGTATTCGTGATGACTGCTTGGTCAGATTATACTGCATTTTTAAAGTACTACCTGCAGATAGAGTTTTCTGGAAGTGTTTATGCTTCCACAGTACTGTCAGACTTTCTCCAAACATGTTGTAACAAATGCTTGTTTCACAGGCTGAATGAATCACAACAATCTGCCACTCGCACCGCTTGCCTGCCTCATGTTCCCACCAGTCACCTTTGCACTCTGGCCCTTGTCTTCTACCCCACTCACATCCATCTGACACCTTGTGCCTCAGCCTCCGCGTCCTGACCCTGGGAAGCCAGAGCCCACAGCAGTGGGGGCTGGCGTGGAGGTGCTTCCTGGCAGCTCAGATCCAGGCAGGTGGCCTTATTTGCCCCAAACACCCTAATCTTGTGCACCTCTGCTGCTGCACATTGCACCATCATTTCTTATCAAGTATAATCAAAGACCCAAGCAGAAGTAAGAGCAAAGGGCTTCAAAGGTGACTGCTGGCTGTTCCACAAGACATCCATGTGAAGGTGGCATTTGCAGCCCATCACCAGCTATATGGGGAATGATGGGCCTGTCTTGTCTTGTATTCTGGAATGAGCAAGGGCATAATGATTAATATCTTAGTACTATTCATCAGCGAATTTTAACTCCATCATCTAGATTGTGAGTTATTCCATAGTAAGACTAGAGAGACAAATGGCACCCATAGTCTGCTTCAGGCAGCTCTAACTTACAAAGGGGAATATACTGGTAAGTGGCAAGAACTGTGATACTAAAGGCCAACAGAGCAAAATACACGAGGCCAACCAAGAGACTATGGTTACTGAAGAACTGCTTGTTATGAAGTAAGCAAATACTAAGCAGTTAAAGCACATAACGCCACACAGACTCAAAAGGTATTTAATGAAGGATAAAATTCAGCTACAGGAAACAAAAAACAGGCAAAATTATCTGTGCTCCACTTCTCTCTCAGTTCCTCACTAACACTTGCTCTCAGACTAACAAGTAATAGTAAAAAACATAACTGCTGTAATTAAGAAAAAGCAGTTATACTTGAAACAAGTCGTAACTCAAAGCTCCCTCATTTTCTATTTGTACCAGTCTTTGAAGAGAGACTTTTCCTATATGGGAGCAAGCTCAAAATGCAGAGTATTAACACAAAGCATCCAATTTTGCAAGTGTACATTAATACATGCTGTGACTGCAGCACTTCCAACTCTTCAGGAGAAATTCTCACTGGCATGAAAACCTGTGACAAAGCATGGAAGTACATATTGGGCTCATCTTCACTCTCTACCCTTCCAGAGGAAATACTCAAGTCCTAGTAGAAACATCAGAGATCAAATGAAACAAATTAACACGCCTGTTGCATGTGGATCAACTGCTCTCAAGTAATCAAAACATTACACAATGTTAGCACAAACAAATAAATTGCATATTGATGCCTTGGGGCCATCTAACTTACCCAAATCTACTCTTTACACTAGCCAAAGATGTAAGCCAATTTATTATTAGAAATACTGGAAAAACATTGCCTAGATTAGAGTCCTGTTTCTTGTGTGTACAGACTGACAGCAAAGCAAACTTGACACTTTGCCAAAGGAAGAACATGACCAAGAACAGTTCAAGTAACCACTTTTGTGGTCAAAGTGGTCAGAGCAGAACACTGTAGGACTGGCGTACCAACGCTATCACCAAACTGATCAGAGGAGCTCCTGTAAAAGAGCCAAGACCATCTAATTATAAATGAAATGACTTGAAAGAGATGCAAGAACTGCAGAGAACAAAGACAAGATTTTTGGCTGGAATTGCAAGGTGAGCTCAAAGAGGCTATGGAGGTAGTTTTACAACATGCAATAGAGAGTGACCACGAAAACAGCAGCCAGAACTCTATGGAATACAAATGGGAACATATGCAGTGAAAGAAGTTACACACTTGACAGAGAGGGGGACAAAAAAGCCAAAGTGGTTGTATCACCAAGTATTACTAGGCCAAGATTCCACATGTTATCTTAAAATTTTGGTATGGTTATTTTACAATGGGGTTAGAAAACACAGGGAAGTAGGGGGAGAGGGCACCTTCCTTTCTGGAAAATTGTTAAATTCCTCAGGACTCATTATTGAAATTGAGCTGCCAACAACATTGTACAGTTAAACTCCTGGGAGGCTGATTACAGACGATACTCTTACACCTGAGCTCTGCCTTAAAACATACATACACATAGGTTTTGGAATGGTATCTGACTAGTTATGAGCACTACATATGGAACCTATTAATTAATTAAGATTCCAAATACCTTAAAATCTATTAATTTCAGTTAGTCGATCAAAACCAAGCTGTCCTTTCCCTTCTTGACACAAGCGGTGCAAAGGAAATCTTAGTTCACACTTGTGTATTCATATGAAGTTACATTGACAGATTAAATTGTTCTGCCCAACAGTGAAATATTTTCCTGTATTTACTAGAAAAAAAAAAAAAAAAAAAACAAACAACAAAACACATTTGAGACAAGTGCTCAGTTATCACTAGACCCTTCCAATACATATGTTGGAAGAAGTTGCCTGCAAACACACATTTTACTCATTCATGCAGTTATAAGAATAAAACACTCAAACAGGAACTTACCAAGGGTATTTTACAGGGACATTTTTGTTAAAAGAGTGTGTTAAAAGGAATAGGAAGTAAATCAGATGCTGTAAACTTGATGCCTGAATTGAAACAAAAACTTAATTATGAATTTAAAGTGACAGTAATTGTGCAAATAGCATTAAAAACTTGGCTGAGAATGGGATGCAAACAAAATCATTTTAGTGATAGAGTTTTTAAAGATGCTGTATTTCATTAAAATAATCCATAAGAATGTTCAGATCTTTTTCTTCTATTTACCCCCATAATACTAAGCAAGTTCAAGATTTGCATTCAACTTTCCCATACAGAAACAGAGCATCTTTAAAGAGATAAATCAGCATTAGCTTACTTTTCCGAAAATTCACGTTCAAAATGATGCATGCTCTATTGAAGACAGCAGAGAAAGAGAGAGGACACAAATTAATCATCCGGTTCTCGTGTCAAAGTGAGAAAAACAGATACTGTTAGCTGAAAAGTTAGTACAAAAATCAGTACATTCGTATTCACTGATAAATACGAGGATAGCAGATTGACTATTTCATATTACATATACAATACTTTGTCTGATTCTGAATAAAAACCCCACGATTTTCCATGCTATAAGCATTATTATACTTGATGAACAAATACGACACACATGCTTTCAGTTGCACATGCCATAATTCAAGATTTGCAGGATTAAAGCACATTTAGAGAGCTTTAGCAGGAAATCTGCAGGAAGATTAGCCACAGAAGACAAAATCCATTTCATTCAAGGAACACTTGCTGTCATATTAACACCTGTATTTACACTTACGCTGCATGGGTCAGAGAGGCTCAAGAAGAGCATTTACTAAAGCATTCAAATTGTCTTACAGAGAGGTGAAGGGCAGAAAATATGCACCATGTGGGTGTCTATGAAACATATGTCACACTGAAGGATTCAGAA